ATGCACACAACACAGGACGGCAAAAAACCTAAAAAACCTAAAAAAACCTTAAAAAAAAAACAAAAACTAAAAAACCTAAAAAAAACCTATTCTACTTGCCGTCTGTAGCTGAGCTGCTGCATTAGAACAATTAACAAAATGAAACCTGGAGGTGTAGGCATTAATTCAGTTCAGTGCACTACAGCAAAGGGAAAAATAATGCCGAAAAAAAGTTGAACTCTTTTTCTCACTCTATGACGGCTATTGAAATTTAATAGCAAAACAGTGTGTCCGTTTTTCTTTCATATATTACGAGTACATTTAAAACTTATGTCGACAACCTGACAACTAAAGCCAATGGTTGTCATCGTTTTTTGCCCTCCAGTAGGGAGCTGGGGGGCGAGATCTTGCATGTGTGACATCACGCTTCAACGTTTCTATACCACAGGAACAGAACAGAATATTTTCATGGTTTTGAAACTAACTTTTTCAAACCACAGTATACTTTGAAACCAGCCCATGCCCATTGGTAACTGCTTGTAGATTTAGTAAAATAGGATGTAGCTGCTTGCAGTCCTGACCTGGTGTCGGCAGCAGACCTACAGAAACAGGTGGAGAGTGGTCCCCAAGAGATCCTACTGAGGCAGACTGAGGCGGTGGGCCGGGTGGAGTAGGAAGCAGAGGAGGGGGTTTCCCCAATCCTGGGGGTATCATGTTCCCTTTATCATCCTCATCACCTAAGGCCAGAGCTGAAAAAGAAAGAAACCGTAAACTGCAGCCATTTGTTCAGACTGTATGAGCCCCAATCAGTCACCAGTGTCTCACCTTGCAAATGGTCCTGTCGGGAAGCGACGTACTCCGAGATGGATTCCAGCTCCTCCAAATACAGATGCACCCCATCGGCTAGCAGCGAGAGGAGATGTCGGATTTCGGAGGGAACTGTGTGCCGTGCAATTTTTTCTCGATCCAGAAAGTCGTCCAGCAGCTGCGATGCCTGCGCTGCGATGTCTGCAGGATCCCTTGGTGAACTCTCCTTGTGGAGTCCACGACTGTACTCGGCTTGGACAAAGTCCAGAGCCTGGTCTTTAGGCATGTTACGGTGGACTGGGAGGAAAACGGGAGTGTTAAAACCGAGCTGGAAGAAAATTCAACTTAGAGTGAAGAAAAGGTTTTTAATTGTTCTTTTCCATCATAATCAGGTGGATTTTATTTTTTAATATTTGTTCAGCAAATTTTGCGTTTAAAACGCTGAGGTTTAAGGAGATAATGGGTCGCAGTGTGGAGCTTATGCAATCGCAATAAAATTTCCTTACAAGCTTCTTTCTGTTGAAGTTTTGCTTTGTTCATGATTCAACAATTTTATATTTGATTTTCAACTGTGCATTTAACAGTTTAGTCTTATGCTGTAAAGGGCAAATAACTCATTTATTCACTCAATTTTGGTGAATTAGTTGGACTGTCTACTCATCAAAAATCACCTGAAATGTTGTGCATTGTGCATTTGTATTGCTTATGTGGCTGCTGATAATTTAACCAGTGAAATTTGGAGACAAAAGTCTCTTTTTTTAAGAGTAAGGAACAATAAACAATAAAAAGCATCTTTTGTGTAAATGACAAAACTTGTGTTTATTCTCTTTGTTTTTCATCTTTTTTGTATAATAATGTTTTCTTTGGATTAAATTATCGATTTCCCCTAAATGGTGGTAAGGAAAATTCATGTGTGGGTTAAGCAGCAGCTTGTGTTGCACCCATGTAAAACTGGGAAATTCAGATTTAATTCAATACTGCTTCATTTATTTCAAAAGAAAATTAAATGTAGCTCCAACAAGACCGTTACTGTGTGACAGATAACAAATGTGTTTTCCTTACAATTGTGGCAGCACTTGAAATTTCCTAGATTTATAGCCATTTTTTTCATTACAAAAGGGAAAAAAAACAAAAATCCTTATTTTGTGGCAAGTTTAGGTTGAATTTATTTGGCTTCTCATCTTACCTAAATTGTTATTTTATGACAGTTTTCCATTTGTATGCAGATTTGTGGTGCATGAAGCACGTAAATGAAAGTCAGGTTTAGATTTTGTAAATGGCATCAAATGTGAAAACTCGATGAAAATAAGGAGTTTCCCCTCCAACTTGAGTTGTGTTTCAGTTAATTGGGTCATTTGTTCTGTTGGTTAAACCAAACTTTTTCTGACAGGCTCTCAACAAAATCTATAAAATATACAGTAAATGTTTGTCATAAAATGTCAGGTAATTTCTCTGATTTCACTCTCTGATCTTTAGAGCTTTCCTTAGAGTTTCAACTGGATAAAAGTCAGGAGATGGACTTGGTCATTCTAGTTAGTTCTTTTTCTGAAACTAATGAAAAATGTCCATTGCTGTGTGTTTGGCCCCTTCGTCTTGCTTGGAAATTCATTTTCAGGCTCTTGCCAAGAGTTTTTTAATGCATTTCTCTCCGTTTCTTCAGGAATATGAAGTGTGCCAGAATGTTTTTGGGAGGAGTGATGTGCAGAACCAGTCTTTCTACAATGTTTATAATGACTTCTAGTGAGTTCAGTTTTGGTCTAATCTCAGACTATACCAGTATTTCACCAACTTCTCCAAATATTCTGCTGTGAACTTTAAACTTTATTTTCATGAGTGGAGTCTTGTGCAGTGAATGTTAACATAGACTGTTACGTTGGAGTGAATTGCACGTTGTTGGCAACGTGTAATGGGATAAATTTGACCACTTTGCTTTCTACAGTTTATTACTTTACAGACATTGTTTCTTTCAAGTGTTTGAAACTGATTTTCCTGTAAGAACCACATGGGTAATGACACAAAGTTGATTACTTTGGTTATTACTGAAATTTGATGTAAATTTGAATGTGAATATAAATATTCCAAATATAGTTGGATGTGCATATTTTATAGCTGACCAAGTATTGCATCCAAGCTGGTCTTTGTGATTGTGGCAATGCAAATTTTGATCCTACCATTAGATGTAGTGCATTGTGAGGATGGAAACGTAGGTTGATTTCCAAGAAGATTGTCATCACAATATGCACAAGTTAAAATTCAAACTACTTTTTAAAAATGATTGTTCCCTAGTGAGGATTGGTGATGCATCTTTGTTTTATAAAATGCAAATAATGCAATCTCAATTTCACAAAGCAAAGATGGTGATCGACTTACAGAATGCTTCTCAACTGGATGGACTATAGTATATATTTTTATGGAAAGTTGACAACTGGTCTGTCATCGTCATTTACTTGTTGTCGCAACTGACTACTTAATTAGACCATCTCGCCCTTCACAAGTCAACCAGTAAAGTCAGCCAAGGCAATGTTTAAAATCCCAACTACAGTTTTTACAAAAGTGAAACTGGCAGTCAGAGTCAGCAGTACTGCCTTGTGGACCCCAACCTCAACTCTGATTACTTTTCTTATTCAACTTCCAATCTGGCCACCTAAGTCTTTCCACAGGTCATACTGAAACAGGACAACGGCATAAAAGGTCAGGGTTATGATTAGCCGTTAATTCCTTTCAAAACGTGAAGGTTTTAACCAAGTCAACTACTGTCAGCTCAAGCCAAAAAGAACAAACGACCCATCTTTACAATCATGATATAAGTTTAGTTTTTTCTAAGCGTCAGAGTTTGCATTTGGTGTTTTGTTATGGTGTTTATTTCAGAGGCTATTTCCTTAAAAGTTTAGTGCTCATGGTGTGTATTTGCTTCAACAGAACTCAATTTTAGTACCTGTTTAAAAGATGAGCAGAATAAGAAAGCTTTATGAAACTTTTATGTTAATGTGTCAAGAGCAAAAGGCAGTTTTTTTGTTTAAGTGGAAAGAGTTTTAAAGAACTGAGGGTTGTAACGTACATGTTCTGGGGAGGGCTTGAAGGATTACGAGGGGTACGGACTTACTTTTGAGGGACTCTGAGAATATGATAACAGTGCAGGAGGACAGAGCTACGTTTTTCTGCTCCACCAGTATACATAACGGGGAGCCGTCTGCTCGGACGTCCTGCAGGGCCCGGGTCAGGCCCGATTCCGCTTGAAGGTACAGCATTTCCACTGACAGGCCACGCTCCTGCAAGCACTGGCTTAGCGATTTGGGGTAATCCCTTTGAGAGGAAGAGAAACACTTTGTTAACTAGACTTTTCTGTGTTGAGTTAACTAGATGGCATATAAAATAACCATTTCTAAGGTGAAGAGTTATTTCTTCAGTTAAAATATATATTTTTAAAAACAAAACTTATTTCTTGAGTTTCAGTTGATAAGGTATTTTTCAGATATGAAATTGTGCAAGAACTCTTTTTAAAGTTCATCTGTAGATCGGTGTGATAATGGAAACGGACGCAATAATCTACTGGCCACTTTATTAGGAACTTCTTCAGTTTCATAACTTGTTACCACAAACATGAATTAGCTAAATGCATGGCAGGAACTCCATGCATCTAGAAATATTGAAGACAACTTGCTTGATAACTTTAAATATGAACCAATTTCACAGTGTGACTACTTTTAGATAACAGGAAACTGAAGCTTCAATACAATAAAATTGAACAACAGGTTGGATGAATGTCACCTTTTCCAACAAGTCTTGATTTATTGGAGAAGGTCTAAACTTGGCATAAACATGAAAATGTGGATTGTTCTGGCTTGTATTGGTCTAGACTGAGGACAACCAAATAATGATGTATTGGATATTTTATTGGTTCAATCTGGATCACTTGGTACCAACTGAGCATCATTTAAACTGTGAAGCTTCTCTGAATAATATCGTTGGTCCTGTCCACCACTTTATGACTACTGTCCATTGATGCTCTGATGATTACGTCCATCAGTCACCTGATGGAAATTGAGCAGAACATATTTGGATTGTGGCGAAAATCAAAACTCTCATGAAGCATAAACAAGAAAACTGCAGAAAATGAATGATGCCATCATCTCAAAAAGAACAAAATATCTAAAGAATGTCAAAAGCTTATTGAATCTTTAACAGAATTAGAATAATTCTGAAGGCAGACCAACACTAGAAAGGTGTAATAAAGTGGCCAGCGATTTAACCTGAAGACAGTCCTGGTTTTAACCTTTTTCCTATGTTTTTTTTGGTGCAAAAAACAAGACATCTAAAGTGTCTTTGTGTGTCTTCTGACCTACAGCCATTGTTCTGATAGGGTATCTGATTTCAGCCAATGTGTTGCATCTGTTCTAGACACACCAGCTCTGTGGAAATCAAATTATCTGAACCAAATCATATGTCCGAGTTGGACTCTTACTGGTTTGGGTTTGACTTTTTCAGTGAGTGTATTTTAAGCAAACAAGAAGCCTTATTGGCCAACTTATTTGCATTTTCAGCAGAAAGTGTGAATGTTGTATGCAAAATAAAAGCTGAAATGTAAACATTAAATATTCCCCCTCTTCCATAGAAATGTTTCAAGTGTGAAAATGGCTGTTTTGATGTTTCTCCTGTCAGATGGACAAAAATGTCTGAATGTAAAGATTTAGGCTGCCTATTGCATTTGTTGTGGTGTGTGATTGACTGTGTTTCTACACATAAGCGTACATTTAAATCAATTTTCCAACCTGGCAAAGAAAAGTTTGTTTTTATGGTGTAGTGACACGCAACCCATTTTTAAACTGTCCCTGTTTTCATCATGAAGGAAAACTTACCTGTCTGATGGCTGAACCACCACACAGCGACAACAGCAGCCAACAAAGAGGATTAACTTTTAATGTGAAATGTTTGGTGATCATTTCTGGGTGGATTTATATGGGTGTGCATGTATGACTGAATAAAAGGAAAAACGGATCAGTTTATCTAAAAAAAGAAGTTTATGTTAGTGAGAATACATGCTGAAACTGCACTAAAACGAACCAATCAGATACATAGTGAACCATTAAGATATTACAGCAACATGTGTGTTAACATATCTGGCATCGATGTAGAAGACCGCATATTGTTTATGTTCCAAAATCAGTGGTAATTGTTATTAGTCTGAAAAAACTGCAGTTTTTCATCTGAGGATGCCTCAAAGATGTAATAGTTTGTGTTTTTAATATGAACATCTGCTGCTCCATGTTGTGTTGAAAGAAAAAAAAAAAACACTTCATGTCTGGCTTCAGTCTGAAAGAAGTGGAGTCAGAAAGCTTAACCAGATGAAACATGTAGCTCAAATGTTTCAAATCCTGGCCTTTGTGTGTTTTATGTCCTTGAATGATTTGTGCCAAGTTTCCTTACCTGTTCCATTTATATTTTTCTTTTTCATTTGAAAATGGAGTAATTTAATGCAAAACTGTGTGATTATATGGGTTCACTTCAAACCAAGCTGCCATCACATTGGCTTCAAGTATCTGCTACTATAAGGTTAGTCTTATTTACTGGAGCAGTCAAGAACTAGCACTGATGATGCATTAGATATTTGCTGAATAATGACACTAATGGTGAAATTATTCACCATTATACCCAATAG